ATCAGTTTTAGATACGTTACGATAAAACTAAAAAACTTGAAAAAGTAAATCCATAACTTTTTCTTGGAATTTTTTGTTAACTTGGTTAACTGTACCACTTGGCAGGCAAATATTAACAGATTCATTATTTTTCTAATAAGTATGAAAGTGTCAAAAGAAACTATTACCCATTTCTAACTTCATTTTTAAATGTAATTTAGCATTCTCCTTCCTGAAGCTACTAGTAACGATAAACTTGCCTATTTTACTATCTTTCAAAATTCATATAAATATAACTATTTGATTCGTCGATTAAAATAAGTCTAGAATGCTTTTATTTGTTATGTATGAAAACTATAATCGGAGAGTCTAGATCTAAAGGTTATTTCTATTCTCCATGAACTGAGCGATCTAATTAACATTGCTTTACAAATATTGAAAAGTTGTTATTTTACTTCTGAAGTTTTGAGCTACGTATAGTATAACTGTTCTTAAAATACGTTTAAGCTCACTTTACTGACTGATTTCTGAATAACCACTAATATACACTTAGAAGTTTCATTTTTTCAATTTTATAGTTTTGAATTTAGTCTTCTCTTCGAAAGCGGACATAAATGAAATTCGGCAAAATTCATTATTTCATGACTCAGCAGTCCTTTCAGAGTGTGGACATTTAGAATCTTTCATTTTATACTACCCTCTTCCTAGCCACGATGTCCCATATGTTAGCTTTTACTTTTTCAGAACCTCCATTAATGCAGTCAATCTGGATCTGCCTCAGGTTCTAGTTTGTTTAAAATGCGAGTCTGGATAGTAGGAAGGATGGGTCAGCAGATATGTTCAGCAAATTTGCTGCCGTCTACTTTAATGCGGCTCTTCCTCCAATTTTTGCTCCCCTGTACAACTCATAGTTTCCCTGTCTTCAGTTGCCGTTTTTTCACAGAGCTCACAAAATGCTTCTCGAAACTTTTCTCTCTAAGATAGCTATTACTTTTTCATGGGATCATGACAACTCAGGTTTCTGAGCCGCGTGTGAGCACAGGTACTTTTTCATACTTAAATTTGTTTCTTTTGGCTCATTTTGATCATATAGAACTTCTAAATTAATTAGGACAACTATTAGAAGCAATGCCTCGTTTTATTTCTTTTTATTTTTCACTGGTAAAATTCTTATTAGTCACACTGGCAGTAAATAGTCTAAGATCCTGCCTAGATCTGCTTGTTAAATAACGGAAGGGGTCATTAATGATGACGTGAGAAGTGCAAAATTTATCTTTTAATCATAGATGATGTTTACCACTATAAACGTCTGCAAGGGAATTTTATTCATAAGCTTTCGTTGGATATTTAAGAAAAGGTACTTTTGGAAAAATATATTGTCATTGTATAATAGAAACGTATTCTGAAACGAAAAATTTCTATTCTGTATTGAACAAGTGTGAAATCCGAATTGGAGCAGAACGGCCGTCTAGCACTCCCCTCTTCGAGCTTCACACTTGTTAGCCGTTTAGGAACTTTTCCGTTTTTCAGACTACGGTGCCGTAAGGCCCGGGGTTCCGTAAGAACTGGGGGGGTCCTGGATTGTGATGATAGCTCACATATCCGTGACCTGAACTCTCTGAAGTACCCTTGCTCTTACAGCGAAATCTAGCGGTTAAATTAGCTGCTACATTTTTCTTGCTCTAGTTAAATTAACATTTAAAGGCTGAGGTGGTTTAGAGTAAGGGCCTGGACTGTAACTAAAGGTTGCAGGTCCGTGCCCTGAAAAAACACCCAGCGCTTTACTAGCATTATAGCTTAGTACAGACGTTCATATTGAATTCACAAATTTTAACTTTTACGATATTTTCCATGTAGATAAATTCGAAGTAAAATTTGTTAAGGAATAAAATGGGACAGTTTTGAACATTTTAATTGGAGTCGTTGAAAGTCAATTAAACTTTAATTACAATTGACAATTTTTGATACCAAAATTTAATTTGAAAATGTAGCTTAATATTAGAATAAAAAGCTTGGGACAAATATTGGGAAATTTTATTCACCTGCGTTCACATAAGGTTCAGAAATCTGGGCAATGTTAAAATTGCTTGACAATATAATGGCTATTTTTGTGAATTGTTTTGATATTTCTAAGTTTAATGTATATCAATGGTACAAGGAAAAACATACAATGAGCTGTACATGCTGTATGGAACTACATTCCACTGCACAAAATTTTCTGGAGACAGTTGCCGATCGGGTTAATATCCCTCAGCATTCAAAATCTTGAAGCCGATTAGAACTGTAATAAGAAACAGGCTTAAATTAAGATTTGTACACAGTACTGAGGATTTCAAAGTGCTTATAAGAATACATTACCTAGGCAAAGGAGTAAAATCTAAATGAAAGATTCTTAAATAATTTTCCCACAAGTAGAGCAAAATTTTACAAGTGCGAGAAATTTTTCACTTAGAAACTAGTTAACTTAAATTGATCATTTGTAATTATTGGTAATTGTGATCATTGATAATTGCTGTAAGAACTGAAGACTGGAACAGTAAGTCTTCGGTAACTGAGATCAGACTTACGATCGATGTTTTAAAGTTTGGCGTTTGCTTTGTAAGAAATTGCAAAATTAGGAAAAATTTAAAAAACAAATGAGTGAATTTTTTTACTAGGAAAAAGTTAACCCGAATTGATCATATGTAGAAGTACATAAGTTAGCGACTATTTGATACGGATAAATTTGTATTAATAAAAGAAATGTTCGCATTCTTATTTTTATGAAGTCTTGAAAGTAATTTTATAGGGCTATTTCAGAATTTAATTATTTTGAAAAGGGGTCAACTTCACTTTGGATCCATTGGAGAAAACCTCTTTCCAAAATGATTTAATTTTTGAAATTGTATATTCTGAAAAAAAAACTTTAAATGCGTCATTCAATTTTAAAATAAACTTTATTCAAAAATTTTTAAATAATGAAAGAAATTTAAGATTTTATTAAATTTTAAGTATTTAATAAATGTGTTTTTCATATCTATACTTAATTTGTTTAAAATTATTCTATTTCCAGTGGTTATAACAAGTTGTTGCGTTAGTCTTATTTAATTTTCCTCTTTTTAAATGCATATGAGTATAAGCTGCTTATAGGGGATAAAAAATTTTGCATCCATTTGGCATGATAAAATTAAGACATCTGCCACTAATTTCTTCAAGGTTTTTACTTCAATATTTTTTTTATGTACTTATTTAATTATACTCTACGATTGGTTCATATAAACTGTAGGATATAAAATTTGGATTTTTTAATAGAACCTCAAGTCATAAAAATTAGTTTCATTAAAAGTACACATATCTGAGAGTTAAAAATTCTTAAATCGCCTTCGTATAAATTTCATTATAGATATACCAGGTAATCAAATTTTTTTCTCGCTGAATTTGATTTAAATCATATATTTAGATAATAGTTGATCTGAAAGTTCTATTGAACAATATTTTGTGCGCTTAAAAGTTTAGAAGCTTAAAAATTCAAACAAATCTTCGCACCAATATATATATGTATAATTGGAAGATTTTTAATACATGAAGAGTAAAACTGGGTATGAAGAGTATCTACTGGGGTATGAAAGTATAAACTTATTACAGCAAGTATACTCTTAATGTTCAAGAACATAATATTGTTCTTGACGTATGTCATTAAGGCAGAGGGGATGTGATTGTTCTTGTTTTCCAGTACTGTATTTCAAATAATATTTGTTTTCAAATACTACTTTTTTCGAATTTAATGGACTGTTTAATTTATCCCTTGTTTTGTGCCTAGGTACTGTTTTTGTCTTTTGTATTTTTCAGGATTATCTGTATTCTTGATTTGCGGCAGATGTGCAAGTTTTGAGGTGACATGGCTACAACATAGGATGAAAAGTTTCAAGGAAGAATCGAATGATTTGATGGGGAAACTACTGAATGGATGGAAAAACGTTTCCAGCCCAAAGAACTTGCCAATTGTTTTGCTAGCCTAGTTGGTGAGACGATGAACTTTGATTTTTCTCTTTGTTCCTCGACGCTCTTTTTTAAAGCGCAATTGCAAGACCAACAGTCACTGAATGTTCTTTAGATTATATGTTGTCTACGTCCAAATGAAACGGAGTCCTGCTGTGAATGAGACTAAGGAATAAGATTTACTACCTCCCAATGAGTCGGCTCAATTTCTCAGTGATAGACGGAGTGTGAGCATACCGTCGAGCTAACCGTGGGAGGTTTTCCTGGTTTTCCTCTCCATGTAACGCAAATGCGGGTTAGTTTAATATAAGTCCTCCAGGAAGGCAAGAAATATGAAAGCTTTAAGTGTTTATCGTTACATATTAGAATTGACGTGATCTAAAGTTATATATGAACTCTGAGAACTTTAGAAATTTAGAGACTAGTAATAAACCCAGAAATGTCTTTTGTTTAACGCTATTTCAACCTCTTTACGATGTTATCAATTTTGTATATTGTTGTCATACTGACTATATATCCAATTCTTGTTAAAAGAATGTAATGCAAAAAAATAGAGAATTATTTTTAAAAAAAAAGAGTATTTACTGTAACATATTGAAATATGACGAAAATGGACAAAGTGCTTTTAAAGTTTACACATGTATGTATGAAACTAGAACAATCTAGACTCTTATTTTGATCCTGATTATGTTGACAAGTTGTAGTAGTAAATATGTGTTTCTTTTTATAGTTTATTTAAAGTCCAATTTAAAGCTAATTGTATTAAATTTTTCGATATGGTGTTGTAATTTATATATGAGATATTTATAAAATACATGATTTAATCTTCGTTTGTTTTTGTAATATTTGAGATCTACTAAATAAATGTGTTTAAATTTAGTTTTTGGTCTTTTTTGCATTTTTCTAAGTTTAGATTAAAATGTGTAATTAAATTTTCCAATCTAAGTAAACTTCGAGAATTTAGTTTCTAAGATTAAAATGGTTTTCATGTTGACACGACTCCAAAATTAGCTTTCGTATCTTATTTGAAATCTATTTCTGAAATATCGAAGCTGTTTTGTGCGATGATATTACCTTTAAGCAACTAGTCTTTTCAATGATCGGAATTTCAGAGTGCTAATCTTCAAAAGAGTAACCTCAACTCTATTGTTTAGATCTTCAGTATTCGTCATAATTGACGTCCCCCGTTTAAATCATCGTCTCCTAGTTAGTGAAAATCTAATCATTAGAATAACTTATTTAGGGGTGCATCTTTATTTTGTGCTCTGCTTACCTTTATTCTTCGTAGTGAGAAATTGTTTATAGTGTCAGGATGAAGAGGGCCGAACTAGAGTAGCTTTCATCCACTAGCTTTTTACTTAGGCTTAATTGCGTTGTTGCTTTTGACATTAGAATGAATACATTCGGAAATTTATCCGCTGTGGACTAAAAACTGATGTATGTTCTCAAGTTTAGTTTAGCTAATATTTTAATCTAGTTTTCATTGATAATGTAGTTTAATTTTTGCTCGTCATTCAAGAAGTTTTTAGAGTTGGAAATTCTTTTAAGCAAAGTTTCAACATTTATTAAAAATTTCTTTCGTGCAGGTGCCCAGCAGGTAACTTATACCTATCATTTGTTGGTCAAGTTTTATTTTAGGCAAATTTCAGGATGATTATTACAGATTGAATTGCCTTGTCATTCACTGCACTCGCTATTGTTTATGTTTTAAAATGCTTCCTGCCGCCCTCCTGAATTGCACTTTAAAATGTTTTGTTTTTCGATCTATTAATGTTCTTAAAGTGGTCTAGGTTTCGATTTCATTAAGAAAACACGAAGGTATAACTTTTAAAATTTCTGATACTTAACTTAAAATTTACTTTTAAAGGAGTTTATCAGTACTTGTTAAGCTCTTGTGATTCAAGAAATTTCATTATTTAATTTTCATTAAAGCTGTATCCCGAATACTGCGTGGTTTGACAAGCGTGATAAAATTTCTAAAATTCATGTTAAGGACTTGGATAAAAAAAAAACTGCTGAAGCATGTACTTTTCAAAACTATACTTGATTAAAGAAACTTGTATAACCTTGATTTAAATAATTTGGAATATTTTGTTCTGCTGCAGTGTTTCTTGAGTTTCGTGTAGTCTTCAATAAGGTTTCAAAGGTGACGAGACTGATTTCAGAATGTATGTTTCTGATTTCAAAATATGATTGTTAAAGGTTCTTAATTTTCAATTTCTATAATATAGATTTCAAACTTCAGAGAGAATTTTTTTTTCAAGGAGGCTTAAAATTTTAGAGACATTAGTTAGACATGGAAAATTCACTCCCACCCCCCCCCACCCCCGAAATTAGAAAGCTGATGTTCGTTATCAGATTATTGGGTATCTAATTTGTTTGGGGTTTTGGTTACTTTCTTTTTTCAAGGCAATGGTTTTGTAACAAAGGCGCGGAAAGTCCTCCACGAAGGCACATTGCTCCCTAATCAAGAAGTTCCTTCGTCTTCTGGAATGGGTTCTAAATGACAAGGTTTCGGAGATGAACACTAATAGTTGTAAACCGAAAATTGGTTCGACTGCTTAACGATGGTGGTTAAAGACTTTAGAGATTCAATTTCAAAGTGGCGCTTTTGGTCGAAAATGACACGACTATTTGCGTTGACGCAATTTTGGAAAATTGCTAAATTTTCTTTAATTCTATTTAAAAATATATAATGTATTTTCAATGTAGTCTCAATATATTTAACTGCATTTTTTTCAAACTTGTTTTTTTAGTCTAATATGCCAAAAATTAAATGATTATTCAATAGGAAATAATTGTCAGATTTTTTAAAAAGTCACTGATGTCAATAACAGTGCTACTTAGATTAAGATCTGATGGGTAGTAAATACTGCGACTTTATTTTAAGTTCTGTTGCAAATGTATGCAACTAAATATTTTAAATATTGTTCAAAATAAAAATACTCTTTACCCTGTTTTGCGATAATTTCTTAAAGAGTCAAAGACTTATAAACGCTATATTAGTATTAAATTTTATTTTTAAGAATCAAATCACGCTTGAAAACTAAATCTGTATCTAAAGTAGACCTTTCCACTTGTTGCACTTTGGGCCAGAAGACCATAATCTTAGACCAAATGTCTAAATTGCATTTTCAACTAGAATATGTGTAGGCAGTTTTGATAGAGCCCAAATTAAGTATTCATAAACACTCCAAACATTATAATTTACTTTTTGCACCGACGAGAGTACAATGTAGTGAAAAATATGTTTAAATTTTTTTTTTAATTTAACTTTTAAATTCATATTTTAGAAATATACATAGAAATTTCACCTTACTGTTACATTTTTATCAGAGTAATGAGTCTGAAATGATAGTACCATTTTTCAATGTGTTGGATTAGTTAATACTCTTGACACACTTATAGTTTATATGTTATCATTTGACATTTTACAATGCTCGAATCACTTTCGAAAATAAGTTCCAAAAAGTTCCACGAGGTCATTGGCTAAACTTTTTTTTGTTGTCTTCTTTGATGTTTCTTTTTTCGAAAAAACCTACCCCATTTTGCCCATATAGCAAAGGTGGACTCAATATACCGAAAAACAAAAATTATGTTTTTTCAAGTTTTCGCGTTATTTTGCAATATTACTTCAGAAATATAATTTGTTTTTCATTTTTAATATAAAATTTTGAAAATTATTACATTTTCATTGCTGTATTTAATTATTTAAACGTACTATATTTTTATTTTTTCTCGCCCTATTTCAGCCGCTATTTTGTTTTATTTTTAGTGTATTTTGAAATGTCAGCTATGAATTCAATTTACCTGCACATAACAGACTCCTAAATAAGATCCCCCAAATTTTGAAACAAATTTTATCGAAATATTGATTTTTGCCACGAAACCTTGGATGCTGGCCCACTGTGCGTTGTGAAGTAATTTTCGATCCATAGCGTGATCACTTTCAAATTTAATAACTCTTGTTAATTCCTATATAATTAGAGTTGCCCCGCAGTGGACTGATCGTTAAGACACGGTTCCCAGCAGATCACCGAAGTCAAGCATCACTGGCTACAGTCAGTGTGCGGGTGGGTGGCCACTTGGATCAGTCTGTGTAGGGACCGAGGGTGTGCGGCATGGGTCCTCGTTAAACTGTTCTACCCTAAAGTGCTCGACTTTGCGTGCAGGTCGTCGGGCTACCAAAGTGGGGATGCCATCCCCACTGCAGAGGATCAAAATTGTGATGGCATGTCTTCGGATCATCCTCAGGGATGTTTCCCAGAGCGTCGCCAATAGCCCATTGTGCAGCTCTAGTGCGACGTAAATGAACAACAATATAATTAGAGCTCACCGCTATTCTATTTTTCAGAAACAAAAACTGATTATCTAAATATGTTATCGCTAAAATGTAGAAATTATTTAATATGCAGATGAAGTAGGGGTGATCCATTAAATTGCACCTTACCTACTCGTTAAATAGATCTTTGCTATGCTTCTGTAAGCTTAAATGATCCTAATGTTATTTTGCTATCCTGTGACTAAAATCAACAAAAGTCGATAAAATAAGTTACTTCAAAAGCCATAATACCATGAATCAAACAGTTTAAAATAGTAAATGCAATAAAAGATATTTAACATTATGACATTTCATCATTTTTCAATACCTCAATCAGTGCAGATAAAAATAAAACGTAAATTTCTGATTCTGACTATCCTAGTTGATCTCCAGATTGGCTTTGTAAGGCTGATTTTAACGTCTTTCCAACTTTTGCGGTAACCTATCAGGCATGATTTTTGGGAAATGGGTAAAGTCAATAAGATGCGTAAATTTTACTTAATATGGACGGAATAATGTTGAGATATTTGGTAAAAATGCTTTGGTATAATTTAAGTCATATTAACTATCCTTCGGTAACAATGCTTTCGTATATTTTAAGAACGAATATTTAGATTTAGTAAAAATGATTCTGTGTATTTTACTCATTGTTGTCAAAGCAAATTGACTATTTAAGTTTCGTTACATTTCGGTTAGAATTTATTGGAGAAAATTTTCCGTTTTTTTTTTTGGATAACTACTTTTTTCTATAATTTGACGTTTCAAGTGACCTACATTTTGACGCACTGTTGACGTAAATAATATGTAAAAATAACTTACTGATTCTTACGTAGTAAAAAGTGGATGATAAAAAAAAAATTTGAAATAAACTAATTTGTTTACTTTTATGTAAACTTTCCGTTCTTTGGATTTGTTATAATTAGTATTTTGACGTTTTGCTGACTTATATATGTAAAAATGACATTCATTATTACCTCGAAAAGAGTAGTTTGTAAAATATTCGTAAAAGAAATGAATTTATTTACTTTCCAGTAATTTTCTTTTAATTCGAAGTTTGTTTTACTTAAATTTTACGAATACTTTGTAAAATTTAAAGGTGGCGTAAAATGAATGATTCTCGGGTACTGATTTAGAATGAAAATAATAAAAGCTGCTTTCGTCTGTGATTTTTCTTTCCTTTAAACAATGACTATTCATTCATTTGCATTATTTCACTCATAAAAGGAAAAAAATTAAA